AAGGTACAGAATATCATATTTTTCTCAGGTTTCTTCCCTGCATGATATTTGCGCAAAAAATATACAATTCATGACCGAAGTTTGCTTTTCTTTTGCTTAGACTTTTTTAGAGTATTTTATTTGCCTTGAAAGATGATATTGTCAATTTTTTTGTGAACGAGGTATGCATCGTTGTTTGCACTCTTCGCCTGTTATTTTTTTCGCAACCGCAAAATTGTAAAAAAATATTTTGAAAATTGGAGCAAAGGTTAATGAGCTTCCTTTGCAGATATGGTTCACGCCATCTCAACAATAGGTGGCCGGGTGTTAGACCCTCGATTTGCAGAAGTTCAAGATGTCTTCAGGTAACCTAATCCTACCCCATGACAACAGTACAAAAAATTGACTATAGGGAAAATTTTGCGATGGGACTAGAGGCAGCAGGAGCAAGTTTTGCAGTTTACCACAATGGTAAACTTGTGGTAGACTTATGGGGTGGTTTGGCTAACCGAGATAGCGGTGAACCTTGGACAGAAGACACTATGTCAGTACTATTCTCAACCACGAAGGTGAGGGGAATACTTCGACGACTGTAAAGATTCCAGAAAATTTATTGATTTAGAGCTTATCTGCTACAGTATTAGCCACTGTTATGGATGAAGAGGGAATCTCATACGACCGAAAAGTAGCGGATTTCTGGCCAGAATTTGCCCAAAATGGAAAGGAAAACATTACCATTCAGAATGTTGTTTTGCACCAGGTTTGTGATATCCCACTTCCAAAACATTTCCTAAAATGAATTTTGTTAGGCTGGTCTACCGTATACCAAACAAATGGTAAGTAGAGAAAATTTTTCCGATCGACGATGGATGAGCTCTTACTTTGAACGAGCTACACCCGTTTGGAAACCAGGCCAGCAGCAAGGTTACCACGCTTTAACCTTTGGGTAAGAGCTTCTAATTTTGGTACCATGAGCTTTGAAATCTTATGGGGTCCAAGTCAGCACCATTCTATCTACGAATAAAAACAGAGAATTACCTTGTTGCAAAACTAGA